CTTTATTCTTCAACAGCTAGACTTCTGACAGTTCTGGGGGGGGGAAGCATTTGAAGAGAACAATGCATACCAGGTTCCCGTAATTTTACAATAAGCAAAAAACAAGCAAGACTTTCCCTGTGGTAAATTTCTTATAGATATTTATGGGCCAGATAGACCATAGGTCCAAGCAAAATGGAACATCTCAAAAGCCTAAACACACTCTGAAATCAGTGTATCTTCATCAGTAGTAATCTTTTTGTATGTGCCACTTGAGTAGTAGGCAATTTCAGCTCTTATTTTTCTGTATGTTCCCTCAGAATCATATAGCTGGAATAAGCCATTTAGATCACAGAATCTCATTCTCTATCTAGCATTAGTAACAGATGATGACCACTCTCTGCTTGAAAATGAGTCTACCATCTCCTAACCTAATTGGCTCTATTGTCACGACTGCTCTGATTGGACCTTCCTCCCTCTCCTGAGCAGTCGTGCTTTTGTCTTCATTGTGTGTTATAATCTTAGCATCTAAAGTACAGCATTCATAAGAAACATTCTACTTCATAAGGAATATTCTACCAGATTGTTGTTTTATTGTGATTGACTTGGGATTATTAACCAGGACACAGCTTTGTTGCTTATTTTGTTTACTAAAAATGTAACTCTAAATGATGCCTCCTCCAATTCAGTGTTTGTTGCTACATGTATTTTCTCCTGGTATTTGCACAATGCACCCCCCATCAAGTCTTATTCCTGGTTAGAACACAGAAACATCTCATGCTGTGAATTAACAGAAAAGATGGAGTTCAGAACAGAGCAAAGAATCAGCATGAGAGAGCTAAAATAGCATCAGACTTAAGCTTTCTCTGCTTTACTTCCTATTTTGTTATTAATTTTATGAATATGACAATTTTCTAAGTATGAGAAATAGTCATAATGGATAGGACAAAAGGCTACTAGTTAGGCTACAGTAGAACTGAGAAAACCAACACATTATTCTGGCTTGCAATTTGAGCATTTTATGACATAGGGCATTTTTTGGATATGGGAAAATAAGAAGCTTGGAAGCCTATCATTATATTTTTCCCTTTCCCTGATTTTATCCATTTACACTTTTTCTTTATAGATAAGCTCCTGCCAGAACAGAAATAAGTGGCATTAATGAATCGGTGAACATGTTTGGTAGAATTCCTCCCTCCTGTTTTGAATTGTCATCAAATCTTTGCCTAAAATTATCTTAGCTTTTTTTAATTGAGAAATGGACATGTTAGAGAAACAAATATGGATTCAAACAAATATGGATTAGCTATTTCCTATACTAATTATACTTCTATTATCCCAGGATCCTACACCTCTATTAAATGAACCGTGGTGAGCTCAATCACTCTCCCTGATTGTGTCTCTTCCCTTGAAGTCACAGAAATAAGATTTCCCTTCCTTGCTTGGTAGAAGTCTCCTAAGCTACTGAGGATGCGCATTCTCGATCTTCTTTCCTCTGGGAACGAAAAGGCCACACAGGTCCCCAAAGAGGTTGCCTTTCTTGCCCCGGAGCCTATCGCTCCCCCAGGAAGGTGATTGCCAAAACCAGCCTCACTTTCCAGTCAAATGCCTCCCTGAAGAGAAGGCAAGGCTGGTGATGTCAAAGTCCGTTTAACTTCTTGCAAGAATGTCTGCATCTTCCAAGTAGAAGCTGAGGCAAGAGACTCCCTGAGCAGTTATAGCTGCTCTTGAAAATCCAATGGGGATGAAATCTTTGTCAAGTAACAGCAAACCTTTTGGTAAACAACCCAGCTTCTTTTTTTGGAGTAATTACAGCAACTCTTTTATTCATACCTAGAGAAGCAGATGTGATCTTACTTTCTTATTCAAAATGCTGCTTAAGCACGGAAATTGGGTTTATTGGAATTTTACTGAACACGAATAGTGTAAGCCTAAAGGCTTCAAGCAAATTTAAAGTTTCCTTTTTTTCTCCAAGGTCAATGATTCCATGTTAATCTGTCTCTTAGAATGGAAGATCCATAGTTGCAGTCTAAAATGTTAGCCAAAGATACACAATCTGTCCTCCACAAGTGGCCCTCCTCTTCTCTCCATAAGTTGCTGCACTTCAATTCCTTTCAGCTCTAATCGACATGGGAGGGAGGGCTCTGTCTCACAACACACAGAAGCTATTAACTATTCCTTAAAATGCTAACAAGGTTAATTCTATTTAGAAAGATGCCAGTAAAAATAATGTTTTAGCTATTAAAGTCAGTTTTTTAAAGGCATTTGTGCTGAGTGTGTGTTGATCAGCCTGTCATACATGTGACAATTACTTTAGGCATCTTTTTTTAATGTTGTGCAGAAGAAGTTGAAAATCCCCACCTGAGTCACCATCACATATGTGTCATTTTTGAATCAATTGTTTTGCTGAGAAAGAGTAAACAGTATAGAACTATGGATAATAAGGATGATCAGTTCACTCCTGTTTCCGGCATGGGCTACCAGTTCCATTCTAAGTTAAGCTCAAACTGCTCTTCTTTCTTGATATTTTCTGACTCGAGAATTTCCTTTCTCTCTATACTTCTGCTTGTTAGTATACAAATCACTTGCTCATTGACTTCCTTTCTGGCTTGCTCTGCTTCATGATTAACAGTCCTGCTTTCTCCTTCTGGAAAACTTCTGCCAGATATAGGACCATTAACTGGCACAGTTCTCTATTAAGGCAGCTTAAAATTGAAACAGTTCTACCTGAAGGACTGTCCCATTTATCTGAACCTTAAAGATGTCAGAACGCTGGGCTCCACTTTCACTAGCGTTACCCCCTACTCCATTTTATAAGGCAGCCACAGCTTCTCAAAGGAAACGAACATTTTCTAAAAGCAAAGTCAAGGGAAGACTTAAAACTTAAAACAAAGCCACTGGTAAAATAAAAAGGGAAATTCAAAATTTTGTACAAAATATCTTGTACACAGATTATTTCGGACCAAAAGACTTTAAATTAGAGAGTATAGTGAAAGCAAAGATTGTTCACAAGCTATAAAAAGTTTAATCAGGTTGAAAAGGAAGACTGAAAACTGAAGTTGGTGAGCTGGGACATCAAATGGGAAAAATAAATGAGGCCCTAAAAAAGGAACAACTTTAAAAGTTCTGTCCAGGTCCTCTCCTCACTGCTGTGCCAACTAGGTAGCAGTATCTGGCTGGAAAGCTAGGTACATTAAATCTGGTATTTGCATGGAAGACCATCACAAAGCCAAAGATTGTGCAGTAGGCTGGAAAAAAAAAGAAAAAGAAAAAAATCTCCCAGAAACCATCTCTGTATCGGAGGGATATTTTACCTTTACTTCATTGCTCTAGTGAGGCAAAGCAACATTAGGCAAAGGATTTCGAGGACATGTCCAAAAAAGCAATGCATCAACTGAACTACCATTGTCTAAAATGCAAATCTTATGCTTATCAGCAGAGTAAATTGTTATAGTAATTAATTGGGGGGAATGTTCCGCCATACCATATTACCTTTCTGCTTTTCTTTAGGGATTTTTTTCCTCAGGCTTAGAGATAAAATGAGGATCACATGGGACAGACTCCATCTGTCCCAAGTGGTATGTAGTTGTTATCCAATAAGCTGAGAGATTCAGGTACTTATCTCTTGAGCCAATTTCCTTTGTAGAAAAGGAAAAAGACAAAAAGACCAAAAAAAAAAAAATACTGTTGAACTAATACCAGCCTTCATGACTCTGGAGAGGGCAACCCTCAGAGCAAGATCTTACCAAAGTATTAAACCAATGCCTTAGCATCTGCTACTATCATCCCTGGGTTCAATATTTGCATCAATAAAACAGACACATAAAACTAAATCTGAACTTGGAGAAAATGTTGTTTTTTTAAAAATAAAATAAAAGGAAACCCATGAAAACAAGACATAGCAACACACAGTACAAAAGAGTAATTATCCTCCTCCCCCCCCCGCCTTCCCCTCCCTGAAAAAAAAAAACTCAAAAGGAGAAAAAGAGCTTTACCACAATTTTGGAACATTTTAACTGTAACAGAAAATGGGCTTAAAATGAAACAGGACCAAAATTTCTACAAACCAGTAGATGAATACAAACACTTGTTTTTAGCAACTCAGAACAAGAAACCTTTGACACAAGGTTAATTCATGAACAATTAAATTTCTTTTAAAAAAAAAATAAAAATTGGGCATGGAGAAGGATTCACCGGAGTTGAGAACAAAAAAAATGAAGCAAGGAAAAGAGAACAAAACTCCCACAATATCTAAACAATTAACCATTGTTCTTGGATATTCCATTCCAAGTGAAGAGGAACTCCAATCGTTCCTGAAAGCTGATAATGGCTGTTTCCATCCTACCCCTGTCTTCCAGAAAGTGTATCCTGGAACAGTCCCTCCATCAGAACTTTTAAGAAGCTGTCATTTTGACAAGATTTATTCATTTGCTTCTTTTTTCCCCATCCCAATTCATGTATAAGACACAGCAATCGTCTCATCATGGCTGGACGGTAAATGCAGAAATCTCAGTAGGGTTGGAAGGTCTGTCCTTGTTTCAAAAATCTTTCACTGATGCTTCCTTTCAAGGGATTTGGTTTGCCACGGCCAACTCATTTCCCCCATTCCCCAGTTGATTTCCTAAACAAAGGAAAATGTCTTCTTTGCTCCAAGCATGCCAATTTCTTCTGTGCTGTCAGATGAAGAAGCCTCTTGGTTTTTTCACTTTAAATTCCATTAAAGATTGTGGAATTGTATGTCTGGTCAACTTTTAAGTTCTTGACTCAACCATTCAAAGGAAAATACACAGAAAATGCAGCAACAGAAGGTTGAATAGTCCCCTTTACCCAAAGCTTATCCCTCCCCTATTTGCCCCAAAGTTGACTTGGTACTGTTTTCAGAAGTCTGCATGTCCCAAAACACTCTTCCTCCCAACCCACCCTGACCCACCCAAAACAAAGTAAAAAGCTCCACAGGTTACATCATCTACCTGGTGGTCAAGTTTGGAGAAGCAACTGCTTCTGTTGCTACTTCAATTTTTTTTACGAAAAAAACAGACAGAGTGTTGTGTAGTGGGGGACCCAGCCTTAGGATTGCTTCAGCCGTTTGCGTGGGGGTCCCAGAAAGGGGCACTGTGCAGAGGCCAGTGAACGATATGCCTCTGCTACCAAATGAGGGTGAGATACTACCATCGACTTCCAGCCTGCAGTCTCCATGACATCAGAAGCATGGCTGAAAATAATAATCAAGAATTCAAGATTACCAGATTAAAAAATATTAATGAAAATCAACTATATCTCAGCTAAATATTATCTATCTGAAAATGTCTCTCGACACAAGAAACTATTTTTCATTACGCACCTTTGGACATTATTCTTTAATAAAGATGTCTCTATTCCTGCAGGACTATTTTGAGGCATATTTATTTATTTATTACATTTTTATGGCCATCAACTCAAATATTTGTGACTCTGGCATACAATAAAACAAGGTAAACCAAAAAGACAAATAATCCCAGGTAAATGGAATAAAGGAGAATTAGTATTACTGCCGCTACCAACTTTCTTGGCAAAAACAGTTGAGTAAATTCCCTTTCCAAAAAGGAGCTTCATCTATATGTGCAGTAAAGCTGTTGGATGATAAATCCTGAGAGCTGCAGCTCTAACACAACTGGACAGAACCATCTTGAGGAATGCTGTAGTAAGAATTTATTTATTCAAGAGAAGAACAACCATTCGAACAGCTGCTGGCTATTTTCCATCTCTCCAGAGTTGATGACAACATTTTAGGATAGGAACAAATCTTGACAGAGAACATTTTAGCTACTCTTAGACACAACCCTTTCCCCTGGTATCCTGCAGAGGATCTGAATGCAGATTTCATCATCCCCACTCAACTCTGCTATGCTGAGAAAAATAAGAGAATTCTATGGGTGCAGACTCTGGAAAGATATCCTAACTTTAAAAAAAAGCTTAAAGGTTTCCCCTGTCCAGTCGTGATTGACTCAAGGGGGCGGTGCTCATCTCTGATACTCAGCCAAGGGAGCCTGCGTTGTCTGAGACACTTCCGTCATCATGAGGCCTGCAGTAACCTTTCCCACCAAAGCGGTACCTATTTATCTACTCGCATTTACATGCTTTCGAACTGCTAGGTTGGCAGGAGGTAGGACGAGAACAGGAGCTCACCCCATCATGCGGCGCTTGGGTTCTGAAACCAGGCTATCAGCTTTCCAGCTGACAAGCCCAGTGTCATAACCGCTGAGCCATCGCTCCGCCCATCATAACTTAAGTAAAATGCCAAACATTGCTTTGAAGATTGTCCTTACTAGATTTAATTCACTAGAGACAAAAAAGAAAGCCCACTTACTAGTTTATGAAGTCAACTGCCTGAGTTTTTAGCTGGTCAGCACTGTGTAGATCAGCCAGAATTAGGATCTCTGCTGCATTCTCCACTGACAAATTGCTGCACAAAGCATCCTCACACATCACTTTCAAACGTTCCAAAGCATACTACAAAAGATACCAGAAAATTGGACTATTTAAACACGCATGTCAAGTTCTTCATAACTTTCTGGTAACATGAAACATCATCAGAACACAGCCCCACAAAGCATAGTGAGTTGGATAATCATGCTTACAATATAACTAGTGTAAGTTTCTGTGGATTTAAATAGGACTTCAGTAAACATCCATTTTGGATCTAATCCCATCCCACATTATATAATAGAAATCTTTAAGAACTAACACATGCACAATCATACGCGCCCTCAAGACATGGCTTTTCCAGCAAGCAGGCCTGACCTAGGGAGGATTTTAGGTAGGGATAATTTTAAAAGTATTTTAATCGGAAACACAGCTGGGAATATTTGGTTTTAATTCGGCTTTTATCAGGGTTTATTCTTTTGTATTTTTGTATTGTGTATTTTCTGTATTTTGGGTATATTATTTGTTTTTAATATGCTGTGAACCGCCCTGAGTCCTATGGGAGAAGTGCGGTATACANTTTTAATCGGAAACACAGCTGGGAATATTTGGTTTTAATTCGGCTTTTATCAGGGTTTATTCTTTTGTATTTTTGTATTGTGTATTTTCTGTATTTTGGGTATATTATTTGTTTTTAATATGCTGTGAACCGCCCTGAGTCCTATGGGAGAAGGGCGGTATACAAATTAAAATAATAAATAAATAAATAAATAAATACATGGATGCTGGGTATCAGTCAATGTTCTTCACAAAGAATGAGAAATCCTATTGCTTAATAAATGCCAACAAATTAAAAACAGGAACAGTGCTACACTTCTTCCTTCACATTGCTTTGCTTCTGTTTAGCCAAAAAATATTCAAATTGGGGTCAACCCTCAGTCCCAGAACTAGAATTTAAAAAATACACTAATTAATTTGCAGAATTTATTTTCACTGCTGAACTTTGAAGATCTGAGCACAGGAAATATGCATGCTTGCATGTGAACCTATATTAGTTCTTTAGGTACCACAGCATCTCAGCATCTCTTCCCATTCTCCTCATAAACATTGGAAAGACAAATTGAACTCTCTAATCACATCTTCACCCAAGAGCCCAATGGCAGGTCTCTGGAGTTTCAAATAGGCATTGCATTTTGTTTATAGAATAATTACGTAATTTTCCCAAGAGATTGGAGGCAGAAAGAACAAACTGTTCCCTAACCTCTTGGGCAAGTATTAAGAGGTTTTATGTGCTGCCATAAAAGGTTTTGCTTTCTGTTTTTAAAACGACACCCAGAGATGTTTAGAAAAAGGAACTATATAAAAAGTCACAAATCCTCTTCAACAATTAAAGCCCCCCTCAGTACCCCCTCTTTACTGGGGTTATGTAAGTGTTGCTAAAGCTAAGTGGGTGTTAAACGTATTTATTACTCAACCGTGCTGGAAAATCAAGGTAGGTTTTTGCTGTGTAAGTACAAATGGATGAACGGTGGGAAAAGATGTTCTATGTAAAAGACAAAGAATATTTCAATTTTTAAGGGACTTTTTTTTTACTTAAAAAAGTTAACACCTCAAGTGCCATATTCTATTTAAAATTCATGTGTGCTTTCTTCCCTTAAAAATTTATTTATTTATTTATTTATTTATTTCATTTATACCCCGCCCTTCTCCCGGAGGACTCAGGGCGGCTTACAGCCAGTTTAAAACAATCCCACATAAATACCAAATACAAATCTAAAATAATTAAAAATAAATATTTGAATTGGCCGCTCTATTAAAATTTTGTTAAAACCAATTAAAATACCCCCTAGGCCAGTCCTGCCTGCTGAAACAGCCAAGTCTTGAGGGCGCGGCGGAAGGAGGGGAGAAAAATATGGCTTAGATCTCAAGGTTTGTTTTTTTTTACTGTTTACTGGATAAAAGCGAGACAAATAATTCATGCTTCTGGAAACGCATCCTTCTTAGCTATGTCCCCATCATGTTTCTACTTCTAGCACCATACCTGCAGCCTAGCTACTTCCTGATGTGCTGGGATACAATTAAGTATAGAACCTGGAAATTCAGGGAGAATATTAGATTGGAGACAGATGGCCAACGTGGAATTTGATCAGAACAATTTTAAGTTATTCACTGAAGTATGTATAAAGAAAGAGAAATATAACTTGGTTTCACCAATATCCACCAATTTAATCTTAACATCAGACTATTAAAATATGTAAAACAATGGTAAGTGGTTGCAAACTAGTACATGATTTGGGATTAGAATGTGCTGCGATGGAAATTTGTTATGTTTTTTATCCTGACAGGTCTCCTCTGCCTATGCTATCCTCTCTGACAATAGACTTATGGATTTGCTACATTCTACTTCAATAGGGCTCAGCTTCTAATATTGGGTTCCAAAAGATAAAAACTTAAGACATAACTATTCAAGAATGTGAGGAAATACAAAACAAGAGTTAAGATGGGTAATACAAAAATATGTTGACATCATCTCTATTCTAGCTTCTCCCAATTTTTGTTTTTTTACAAGGTTCCCTTTTACCTTGTCAGCAGCTGCAAGCAGATCGTCAGCCATTTTGTCGAGATTAGGTGCCTTCCCGGTATAAATGAAGCACATCATTTCTTTAAAAACTTCAGGTTCCACATCATTGATTTCTACTCGATTCTGCACCAGAGAAAAGAGGAAGATTATTCTTCTGAAGCAACAGAAACCTTTCCTAGCCTAATCTCTCTTTCAGCAGGAATAACTCTCTGTAAACAGGGGTGCAAACCTGTTTATTTGTATTTATATTGCTTCTCATCTTATATAGTGACTCTTGGCTTCTCAAACCTTTCAGGCTGATGGCTGCACCTGACTTTAGGTGAATGGCAAAGAAAACAGGTTAAATTTGATTTTTATTTATATCTTATTAAAAGTCAAAATAACTGTTAATTTGAGCAGTCTATGGAGATTCGAAGTCATCCAGGTCATTTGTTAATTTGAGTGTAAAAATATTTAATACTTTTCTCATTAAATCACTAGGGAAAAATGAATTTGATGGCAAATTTTGGAATGTTTCTATGTGCCAGACTCAAGGTTTAAGGGCCAGTATTTATATGGCCTGCTGTAAATTATATGCAAACATAGTTTAGGTTTCATGAATCCCTTCTAGCTCTGTAAGAAGACAAACTACAACTTCCTCCTTAGTCTGTTTTTTCCTCCAAGTCTACCTGTAATAAAAGAAATCACTAGCAATGTTATAGAATCATTCTAAGCCAGGGGTCCTCAACCTTGGCAACTTTAAGATTTGTAGACTTCAACTCCCAGAATTCCTCAGCCAGAATTCCTTTGTTGGCTGAGGAATTCTGGGAGTTGAAGTCCACAAGTCTTAAAGTTGCCAAGGATGAGGACCCCTGTTCTAAGCAGAAGATCAGTTTTTTCCCCCAAAATCACTTTGGAAAGGGAGATGAGCAGCATATAAATTTAATAAATAAATAAATAAAATACATTTTCAGTGTGTTATTTTATTTAGTTGCTATTTTAAAGAATTACTTACATTTTTTCTTTCTCAATTTTCTCAAGAGTTTACACCATAAATTATAATGTGCTTGCCTCTACCATATCCTATATATAACAAGTAAAGGTGAAACATTTATATATTTATTTGGACTCTTGACTCTATTCAGTTTCACCAAGACTACAATCTCAGATTAGTATCCAGTGCTTCAGATCTAATTGCTGGAAATAAAGAACTTAAAATCAATTGCTGAATAACACTGACAGTTTGTTTGCATGGGCAATGATGGTTCTCTTGCCAACCCACTGTAGAAAACTAACTATCCAAGCTGCAATATCTCTTCTCTGTTCCCAGAGCAAAATGCCTTGTCAACCTTGACACATTAACAAGACTATATTTCATTGAGCATCACTTGTCTGAGCAGGACCTTTGTGGGTTGAGGTCAAAAGTCTGCAATACTTTTCAGTTATTAGCTAATGTTTGTCTCCACAGTATCTTCCTGTCTGGGCAGCTCTTCTCCATGGCTTACCTTTTTACTCTCTTCCATCTCATGTTCAAACATTGCACTGAAAACTGGAGAACGGGCTGTATGCATGGTGGATTGGCATAAGGAAAAATGGGAAAAAAATACCATTTTAAAAATGTGAAACAAATACTTTCTTTTTAGAGAGGAACTGATATATACCATCAGGACTTGCAAATTCAAGTAATGTATAAAAGGGACAAGTAAAAAATAAATTGTATACTCGCAAGAGAATCAAATCAAAATTTTTGCCCAAGGGAATATGCATATGCTTTCCCAGCAATTTATTCCCTCCTATGCAAAGAGATAAAAGAAACTCTGGAATGCAGCTAATTCAATTTTCAGATTTTCTCAATTCCATTTCTTCTTACACTAGAGGTCCTTTGCCATGGCTTTGTGTTGTTGTGTGCTTATCACCACAGAATATAAAGGCTTTGTGTGATTTGTACTAAATTAAGAAATAATCAAACACAATAAGCATCCATATATACTGTACCACAGAGGTCCCCGACCTTTGTGGCTTGACAGCCCAGTTTAGGGGGGGGAGAGGGGAACTGAGCTGCGTGAGCAGCGGGCCAATGTACATGTGAGAGTGCCCACTGGTCTGATGCTTTTGCAAGTTGAATTGAGTGCCCATTGGCCAGTTGCTCATGCAAGTTGAGCTGCACGTGTGCACACACACGCTACAGCCAGCCACTCACGCGGCCCAATTCCAAATAGCCCCATGGCCTGGTAGTGGGCCGTGGCCTGGGGATTGGGACCCCTGCTGTACCAGATAGAGATGGATTCTGCAATCTATATAAAATATGCAATCTGGAGCACCCATCTTTCAAAATCCATTCTTATTTTGCAGCAACAGGAACAAACTCTATACAGAACCTAGAAATCTTTCTCCAATAATGACAAAACCTTAATCTTTTGATCTGTGAAATTTCAGAAGAATTTAAAATGCATGTAGTCTTCAGCTTATGACCATTCATTCAATGATTGTTTGAAGTTATGTAAGCACTAAACAAATGGTACTTATGGCCTGTCCATAAAACTGAAGTGCATGTGTGATCACATGATCAAAATCTGAGTACTTGGCAGCTTGACCACACTTATGACTATAGAGGCACTTCAACTCCCACTTCCCTCCTATCTGTAGTCCCTGCACTCCGTGCTCCCTGTAGTCTGCACTCTTCCATCTTCAGCTGGACTTTGCTGCTTTCCTTCTCCTGCTGCTGACCAAGCACGCCTGGCCTGGCCTTTTGCGAAACAAGTGCTGGACACATGAGGCTTTCACCCTGTGGTCACGAAAAGTAGTTTCTTTACGAGTCCTGGAAGGCTTCATGTGGCCAACAGCCGCCTCGCAAAGGGCTAGGCCAGATATGGGAGGAAAAAAGATGGTGATGGGGCAGCGGATGCAAGATAGCACGCTACTCAAAGGCATTTGGGGCTGGGGCTTTCTACTATACTCCTTGGATAGGTCAAACTGGCTATGGCTTTGCTGCAGTTCAGGTTACAGCCCCAGAGCTGAGGTGTGCCAAAGACCCTGAGCCACAGAGTGACAAGCAGCCCCAGAGCCATGCAATTCTGAAGGTGTTTGCCACCCAGCAAGACAGTGTGCATGGCAGCCAAAAGAATGGAGTTTTGTGGGGAGGGGGAGAATATGCAGATCCTAAAAGAAGGATGACTTGGAAAAGGCTATAAGGTACAAGTCCAAGCATTCAGCTTGCCACTAATCTGTCATCCTGTTACCTTTTGCATCTGTCAATATTTTTTTCTTCTGTTCAACTATATCCGATTCTCAGAGACTGCTGGACAAGTCCCTGCAGTTTTCTTGGCAAAGTTTTTCAGAAGCGATTTGCCATTGCCTCCTACTTAGGGTTAAGAAAGTGACTGGGCCAAGGTCACCCACTTGGCTTTCTGGCCAAGGTGGGACTAGAACTCACACTCTCATGGTTTCTAGCCTGATGCCTTAACCACTACAACAAATTGTGTCAATACTAACCTGCTAATATGGCTTTGTGAGCTTGAAACTCCTGGCCTGCTACACACAAGGAACAGTCTGTGAAGCGAGAGTTTTCCCAAAGGCCTCCCAACTCATCAGCCAAGCGGCATTCAGGTACCTTCACCATGTTCATGGAATTCTGGCCGGAGATATTGACAGAGTCCTGTACTACACTCACCTGCAAGGAAGCATAAAAGCCCATGCTCTTTATAAATATACTGATAATAGCAGCAAAAAATCTAGAAGAACTGAATAATAAAAAAAACAAATTCCAGAACAATACAGACTTTTTTGTAAGAGAACCCAGCAACACATAGGAAAAGTTTGAGTTTTCCTACCCACTCTCCGAACCATTGTCTATATGCAAGTTCACCACACTGAAATGAAGAGAGATTATCAACCACTTCAAGACAGTATATGAAATAAATATACACATTCGTACAACATTGAGCAAAACTCAGAGACACCACAGAAACCCTATTTTATAGGGTTTTATAACAATATATTCAGTTTGCTATAATCCCTCTCTGCCTCTCCCACAAAAGATCTATCAAGTCTTCTATACCCTACCCTCAATGGTCACTAATAAATAGGGGATTGGTTCACATAATGCACTAGGTTAGGCAAAATGGGTTCATGTAATTTATGGTTCAATGTGTTGTGGGGATCTACCTATTTAGCAATTTGTGTGAAGAAGCCTTTCAATTTAAGCCATAATATAGTCTGCATGAGTAGAGCATACAGAGAATATACAAATTTCTGCTGCAATCCTGGATTTAGAATGTTGTATGAATCTAAGTGGTAAACTATCATACGTGCAGATAAATGAAAATTCAATTTTATGCTAGTTTGGGCCAAATCTCCCAAATGATTGACCAGATGTGGATGTGCATATCTTAAAATTCTTCTCTATTAGCAGCTTCTCAAGTGATAGCCAGCAGAATGCAGCAAGTTAACATTTATCACTAGTCCCATGCCTTTCTGAGCTGGCGTACCATCTGATGGTCCCCAAGAAAGAACAAAACCCAGGCTCCAGTAATGGAAGACTGAAATTAAACAGTGCACAGATTCACAAATTAAAAGCTAATTCATTTTTTAATATATAAAGAAAAAAAATACTATCTCTGATCAAATCAAAAATCCATCTACTCCGGCAGATTATGTTACAGAAGGGGCGTTGTCTTACCTGAACGCCTTTTCTCAGCACGGAGATGGAGGATCCACCCATGGGTAGTAGACTGTATTCCTGCCCAATCAGATTAAGTCAGCCAAAGTTGCCACGCCCGTCCTGGACCCTAGAATCCAGTCTTGACGCGAGCGAAGCCATTGACTGACATAGGACGTACTGGCTCAGAAACTAAGCTA